GGTTCCAAGGTGAAAAAAAGAGAAAGAAACAGAGAGGTGAAGGTGCCTCAACCTCAAGTAGCAAGAAAAAGAAGGTGAGGGTCCCTATAGCCATAGCGAGCTTTACTATATGTTTGAAACCATATTCCTTTTTTTTATATATATAAGTTTTATAGTTAGATTATTAATAAAGTAAATCACCATACATGTTGAATGATGTACGGTGTTGATGCTGCTGCCAGTAGTGTGCCTGCAAGACCTACCACAACACAAGGCAATGAAAAGGCTTGAATATTGCTTTTTAAATGTAAATGGAAATGCTTTGTTGGTTTTTGTCTTTTTTGAATAGTGGTGATTTAGGGCTTTGGTTTATTCAAATTGTGACCAAATAGGTTAAATTAAGGCCATGTCCTTATCTATATGGCTTGTATCAGTATATAGCTTGTATCAGTGAATGACCAAAAACAATAGTATCTATGGTCATATGGATTCTGCATTTTGTATATTTTGTAATAGTAAATTGCCAAAAACAGCACTTAATGTATGGCCGAATAGGGGATTTGGTTTTGTATATTTTCTTTCAATGAATGGCGAAAAATGGAAATTATTACTACAAAGGCTTTATGTATGTATACCTTGCTTGCAAACAAGTGATAGTGATGTACACAACATAACAGGGCATTTCATTTCATTTAGATAATTTTTTTACTAAATTGGGTATAACTTCTGGCCATTTCCAAACTTACATGAAATGCCCAAAAGCACACATAACCACACTCAGAAATGTCAAATTTAGAAAGCAAAGTGCAACAATAACACATCCAAGTTTACAAAATGTAGTTTACATTTTCTTTTCCAACAAATTCTCTATTTCATGCATCCTCCTTTCCACCCTATCAATTTTAGACTATTGCTCACAACCAACTTCTTCCATTGGCTAATTAGTTGCAGTTTCCTCTATCCCCTTGTTCACACTAACACTTTGCCTTTGCCTCGTTTGCTCAACATCTTCCTTAGGACTATGCTTCAACTGCTTCCTTAGCTCAAAAGTTTCCTTAAATAGTTTCTTCCTTTCATTATAAAGGTACCAAATAACATCTTTGGCCCTTTGGGTGAAATCTGTATCATGCCACACAAAGTAATCATACTTCTTCGACACATCCTTTTCTTGTAACCAAATTGAGCATATAAAATCATTGTTCAAAACTGAAAGCCAAAATAATAATAATAATAATAATAATAATAATAATTTTTCGAAAGTGGAACCCACCCTAAAATCTAGACATCCATAAAAGCAACGACTTGGATTTGAGTCCCTTCATGCAGTCCACCATGGAGCAAACTTACCACAGTCGCAATGGCAGATGGGTGGTGAGTAGTCATACTCGGGAATACCATCATATAAGATGAAAGGAGGACAACTAGATGAAATCAATACACCACGTGAAGCAGAACCTCGTGAGAATGAATTTCCATATGTCCTTGACATTTCTCTCTTAGCATAAATTGTGGTTGGGTTCAGGAGAAGACAATGAAAGAAGAAGATCATGGAAAGCTCGATGAAGATTAAGAAGGGGATGAAGACAAACCCTAAATCCCCAAAATGGTTCTGCAAATCTATTTTAAAAGCTTTGGGTTTTAGGTTTTCTTTTCTTTTTTTTTTTTTTGGTGGGGATGTGGGGACAAGCAGGAAAAGTCCCGTGCACAGTGGGCCCCCACTGTACAAGTGGCATCCACATGTGCAAAAAATAAGCCACATCATCAAAAAAGGAATCCAAATTGGATTACTAACACCACATAGTGCCATGTTAATTTCTAGGTGCCACGTAGTGCATTTTTTAATGGTTATTAATGGTGTCGTGTTGGCCCGTTAAAATATTGGGTTTTTCATGAGTTTTGAAAAGTGGAGGGTGTTGATAGGGAGGAAAAATTTTGGAAGGTGTTAATCGTGGAAATAAAATAAATGAAATGTGCAAATAAGGGCTTTGGCCAAAGAAAAATAGACAAAAATATGGAAAATTTTTAATTTTAATTTTAATTTTAATTTGTTAAAAAACTGGGTCCACCCGACCCAATCCGACCTCTATGTGGGTGGGTCATGGGCTTACCCTTTAACCTAACACCCAAAATGACCCAATCCAAAAAATTCGAGATCCGAGATAACCTAATTCGAACCCACCTGATTTGACCTATTTGCCAAGTCTATATATCATCAAGACATATGTGTGCTTGTTTTTGCTACAAATGTTTGCATGGGAGAGGTTTTGTCCATACCACCTTGGTCGTGTCACAAGTGGAAAAGCTTTAAAGGAGTACCCCATGGTGAAGTGTGGCTACACCAATGGGACAGCTCCACTAGCCTGTTCTTGGATAGGAAAAAGGAGGGTAAAAGGTAAAGTAGTTCTCAAAGTTGATAATTTTCTCAAAGATCATGGCAGCTTCAACTTCCATGCATTCAAAACAATGCCAAGGACATTTACACCACCTAAGCT